TGTGACAATCAACAGGGAATCAGTGCAGCATCTGTATAATGTCACTAGTAAATAATTTCACTGGTCTTATCTTTGACGAATTTGGCAAGTTACATTTATATCTACCTGCCAAAGAAACGTTTTGACAATTATACACACAGAAGCGTAATGTTAAACTACGGACACTTGTCAGCTGTTCATTACAATCTTTTTGTTTTAAAAAGTTGTATACCAAATATCTTAAACATATTTAATTTTAATGCTGAATCAACATGTTCTCTGCAAATAAGATGATGGAATTAGAAGTTTTTGTGTTTGAAATGATTTTATTTCATATGTATAGATTCTTATTATTTTATTGATACTGTGCATTATTAAACACATGTCATAAAGCATAAAAAGTTGTTCAAAGCAGCTGTTTCCAAACCCACACAGTATAGTCAGTAAATTTATCATGCGTAAATAGTTTTATCTTAATAATAAAAAAAATAAACAAAAAAATGTGCACTATGTAATCAATTTTGTTAATAATTATAAAATTGTTAATTTTGACTATATATACGTCTCCTAAGCCATGCATAGTACAAGTGACATAAACTTCAATGTGTTGAAGGCGGAAGTACATGTAGAAGTAAAAATTCATATTGCATATCATAATTTATGACATATTGCTTCAGGTCACAATAGTTCACTCTAAAAAAGAGTTACACCCCCTTGAAATATTGCACCTTAAAAATTTCTGGGGAGAACACTGTTTGATGTACATGCACTTCCCTGCAAAATGGGATAGCTGTAGGTTAAACTTAATCCTATTGTCACCAAGGTCCCACAGAGCACTGTTAGATAAGGGGGAGCTAACTCGTATGTGCTGGAACCAAGGGACAGGGGGTCAGTCTATCGCTAGACTTAATGTTCTGATAGGCATAGCTAAAACGCAAGGAAGGTTTTCATAATTTAATCAACGATAACAATTTAGATGAATGATGATAACAATCAATTAGTAAATAATGCCAAATAATAATAATAATTAAAGTACAAAGTATCAAATCTAAATATCAAATCCGAAGTAAAACTATTTCTCCTTACAATGTAAAATAAATGCCAAAACTACTAAATCATAAAATGAACTTAATCTCAAAATCAAAATGTAAAAGTCTCAAAAATAAAAGATTCTCAAAAGTATTTTCCAAAGTTAAATTATGAGTCAGAGATAAATTTTGTCTCAACACTAAACCGTCAACTGGTAGACTGGTAGACAGTCTTGTAGGTCCAGTATCATGACGTGAGTAGTGAGAGGTTACGGTTCCGAAACACTGACTGTTTTCTAAAAAATTCTCAAAAATAAAAGGTGAGTCAAAAATACATTTTTGTCTAAACACTACAAAGTCAACTGGTAGACTGATCAACAGTCTTACAGATCCAGTATAGTAGACTTTAGCAGTGCAAGTTTAGGTTTCCGAAAGGTGACTGCTTTTCCAAAATTTTACAACGTTATTTATACTAAAACCAAAAACTAATGAATAAGACTCGACATGTCAATAGTACTCTCATTAGCGAAAATAGACTTTAATTAACAAAGCCTAATCCTATAATGTTTTGATAAAATCTTAAACTTTCCAAGTGACATATGCTAATTACAATTAATATTTCAAAACAAAGTGCTTAGAGCAAACTGTGACATTTCGAGTATTAATGCCACAGCATAGGTAAAAATCAATTAAACCAAAATTAATTAAAAATTTTACAAAATACAAATATAAAATTTTCTTTCTTAAAATAAAACATATTTTTTATCCAAAATAACACTAACACAAATATAAGCCAAATATCACACCATGACATATTCCCCCCTACTCTTATATGTTTGTCCCCAAACATGATATAAACATTCACATTAGTTACCCCTATAAAAATCTGAATACACTCTGTACAAACTATAACCTGGTGCCAAAAAATAAATATACCAACAATTTATTTCAATGTGCTAGCTTCCAGCAACCTGTTTTCCTTGTTAGGAAATTTAACAGATGAATTATAAAATAATATCCCTGTAATCCAAAATTCAAATTGATGTAGTAAAAAGAACCAACAGGCGTGCACTCCTACTAATTCCTAGAACTACAAAAAAAAAGATAGAAACTGATTGTTTTCTATGTACTACTGTCTTGGAAGGTTGCTATGGTAACATGACCAGCACTGTCATGATGTTCACTAATGTCTAAATGATCTGAGTTGGTAATGTCAAAGTTCTGTTCTTTTAGTCTGTTTTCGCTTTGTTATTTCACAAAAAGTTTAATCCTATAAATAAGCTCTAGCAAGTTATGTTAAAAAATTATGAATTTCTGCTAAGATGTCCAAAAGAAAGTTGAAGCACTATTTCTCCGATTATTTCATGCACTTCTCCACAGACACCTATTGCACTACTGATTGTTGATTTCTGTATCGCTGTAGTGGTGTTTAGACGATACAACTGATGTTGGCTGATACAGCTAAAAGATGCTCCGCTGTCAACTAAACATCTCACTTGAAGGTTCTCTAGTCCAATTTCGACAAAGTTCCTCTCCATGGTTGTTGTAAACTGGAAACTTGTGGTTCCTGGTATTACACTGGAAAGCTTGGCACATCTGTCTTTTTGGCAGCACCATCCTTTTGAAATTCTTTTTCTTCCCATGATATTTCTATTCCAATTACCAAACTGAAACTAAAAGGAATTTTTGTCAATATCTTGTTTCTGTCAATACTCTATCTTAATGTACTCTTAATATTTAATTAATTACGCTATTAAAATCTCTCCTGAACTGAACGTTTACTTCTGTAATGTTTTGCACAAACAAATTTTATAAAATTACAGATTCACACCAAGAATCAACATACATCTATACTTTTCACTAAAAAATATTAAAGTGTAATATAAAAAGCAAGATGTACTTATCTTTTAGTTGTGTGTTGTTGAATCTGCAACTTGTCTCTGCTGTTACTGGTTCTCTCTTCCTCTCATTGTCTCTCCTGCTGTTGTCTCAATTTTGAAAATTTAAGTTTTAGATAATTTTGAATGAATTTTGCCAACCTACATTCTAGCTATGCAGTTTCAGAATCTTATTTGTGTCGTGCTCGGGTCGAACTCCCCCATATCTGTCACCAAGGTCCCACAGAGCACTGTTAGATAAGGGGGAGCTAACTCGTATGTGCTGGAACCAAGGGACAGGGGGTCAGTCTATCACTAGACTTAATGTTCTGATAGGCATAGCTAAAACGCAAGGAAGGTTTTCATAATTTAATCAACGATAACAATTTAGATGAATGATGATAACAATCAATTAGTAAATAATGCCAAATAATAATAATAATTAAAGTACAAAGTATCAAATCTAAATATCAAATCCAAAGTAAAACTATTTCTCCTTACAATGTAAAATAAATGCCAAAACTACTAAATCATAAAATGAACTTAATCTCAAAATCAAAATGTAAAAGTCTCAAAAATAAAAGATTCTCAAAAGTATTTTCCAAAGTTAAATTATGAGTCAGAGATAAATTTTGTCTCAACACTAAACCGTCAACTGGTAGACTGGTAGACAGTCTTGTAGGTCCAGTATCATGACGTGAGTAGTGAGAGGTTACGGTTCCGAAACACTGACTGTTTTCTAAAAAATTCTCAAAAATAAAAGGTGAGTCAAAAATACATTTTTGTCTAAACACTACAAAGTCAACTGGTAGACTGATCAACAGTCTTACAGATCCAGTATAGTAGACTTTAGCAGTGCAAGTTTAGGTTTCCGAAAGGTGACTGCTTTTCCAAAATTTTACAACGTTATTTATACTAAAACCAAAAACTAATGAATAAGACTCGACATGTCAATAGTACTCTCATTAGCGAAAATAGACTTTAATTAACAAAGCCTAATCCTATAATGTTTTGATAAAATCTTAAACTTTCCAAGTGACATATGCTAATTACAATTAATATTTCAAAACAAAGTGCTTAGAGCAAACTGTGACATTTCGAGTATTAATGCCACAGCATAGGTAAAAATCAATTAAACCAAAATTAATTAAAAATTTTACAAAATACAAATATAAAATTTTCTTTCTTAAAATAAAACATATTTTTTATCCAAAATAACACTAACACAAATATAAGCCAAATATCACACCATGACACTATCATGAAAATAAGGAGATGTGGAATGATTGCCAATGAAACAACTATCCACAGTGTATCCCAAACTCTGTCTGACCAACAAAATGTCAGACAAAAATTCATTCGGTCAGATAGAAATTTGGAGTTTTTTTAGTTGAAAATAAAGTAGAAAAAGTCATTTTTCTTTTTTGGTCAGACAAACACTAAAACAGTTTGGCACAGGCTGTATCCACCAAAGTTTCAAATGAACTGGATGTAAGCAATTATTGGCAACTGAACATGTACAGCCTTCAACAATGAGAAAAATCCATACCATATAGTTGACTATAAAAGACCCCAATATGAAAAAATATGAAACATTCCAATTGAGAAAAACTTATGGCCGAATTTATAACAAAACAGTGTATGAAAAACAAATATGACAGACATGAACCACAGACAACCACAGCCACTGAACTAACAGGCTCTTGACTTGGGACAGGCAAATAAAGAATGTGACGGGGTTAAACATGCTTGTGAGCCCTCAACCCATCCCTGACCTGGAACAGTGGTGCTACAGCACAACATAAGAACAAACTATAAAGATTAAATCAATTGAAAACGGCTTAACTCATCCGATTGATACAAAGCAGAAAAACATATAACAAAATACAGGCCAGATGTAGTAAGTTATTTATGCATCCTTAACAACAAAAAAGACACAAAGTATAAAAATGTACAGATCGGAGAGTATTCGCAGTTTACTGACAGCTAGTTCAAAGCCAATAAATATTAAACAACTAATGAATAAGTCATGTATCTAAGACTAAAATGTACAATGTACATGTAGTCTCTACTCTATTTTACTTTGAAATAAGTTAAATATTTTTTCTCTTTTCAGGTATTTCTGGTAAAAGTCAGATTTTGTTTGCTACAGTCTTCACAGCAAGATACTTGGATCTCTTCACATCTTTTATTTCTATCTATAACACCTGTATGAAAGTGTTTTTCATCGGAACAGTATATTTCACCATTTATTTGATATACATGAAGTTCAAAGCTACGTATGACAGCAATCATGACTCCTTTCGTGTGGAGTTCCTTATAGTACCTGTTGGAGGTCTAGCCTTTCTTGTAAATCATGAGTTTGCCCCACTTGAGGTGAGTTTGAGTTTCCTCTGGGAGTATAACTTGCCTATTTTGTTCTACTTTGAACATGTTGAAAGGCTATGTTAAAAATAATTGGTGTGAAGCAAAATATTGTCCTATGAAATAATGTCCCCAGGACAAAATATCATGATAATTGGTAGGTTATATATATATATATATTTTGTCCAAGTCTATGAAAAACATGTAATGTCCAGAGAAGGACAATTTTTTGGGGTAGTATTCAGGGCTTCCAAAATTATTTTTAGCCAGCCGGACATTTTATATATTATCCCGATTTTAATCCCTTAAGACTAAATAAACAAAAGGCAATTATGGTATTCAGTTGCTGAGTTGGCCATCCCAATGATTGACATTAAAAAAAAACGATGTTAAACTTTCTTTGATTCAAATTTGAAGTTCTGACGTAAACTGTTAAATTGGCAGTGCATCATTCGAAGTGTGCAACATCAGCTTACTTATATCTGCCTTAGACTCTTTATTTGTGCAAAATAACGTTGTCAAAAACTTTACATTCGTTAAAATCTTATACCGGATGTTATCTTGACAATGGTAAAACATGGACCAGAGACGGATACGTAAATTCCGTGTACGTTTGCGAAGCATGAATGAGTGTACGTAGCTCTTTCTACGTTATTTCTTCAAGAAAATATTCGAAATAAACGTGAGATAAAGGTATCAATGACAATTTAAGCATTTTTTGAAGAAATTAGAATGCATAATTAAATTTCACACCTGGGCCCATGCTCACACGTGTACTAGTTCAAACAGAGACATGTCTCTGGTTCAAACAACGTGGTTATGACGATTTTTCATTTTCACCTTTTTAATTTTTTCATCAAATCATATTTGTAAAAGTATTTCTGATAATTTAAATCTTTTTGACTAAATTAATTAGATGCAAACCGCTGAAATGTAAGAAAATAACTTTGAATAGACCGATCAATGTCCGGTTCAAAATAGTTTACCTGAACAGGTAAATTTCAGCTGTTCGACAACTAATTAGCCTTGATTAAAATGAGAAGGTATTAAAGTAGGGGTTGTTTTGATAGTACTTAATGATCATGTCACTTTTATGACCAGAAATGTGTGGCTGTTAAAGGCAAAAGGTTGGGTCAAAAAGATCGCGAATTATGTTAAAATGACCGTCTCTTAAGAAATCCTTGAAAACTAAAAAGTAGATGACCGTTTCATGCTTTGCCCAGCCGGACTTTTACCGGACATTATACAAATGTCCGGAATATATGACCGTTTTGGAAGCCTTGGTAGTATTCCACAGTTAAGTATTGTCATGGACAGTATTCCACAGTAGAATATTGGCACAGGCAAATCATTAAAATAATTTAAAAAAAAAACATACCTACTGTGGTCTTCTAGGGTGTATGAATGATTATTGTTGCTTGCTTCATGTCCAGCAGCAAATATTTCATATTCAGGAGGAAACTAACTTTAGCTTGTAAACAGGATGAAAAGGGGAAAGTTGCTTTGTTTACCTCCAGTGTTTCTTACATGCAATGAAATGTTTAGTGAAATTTTCCCTTAGAACATGTACTTGACTAGACTAAACTTGATTCATGCCAAGTATTTCTTTGTTTGACAAAAAAGTAAATTCTTTCACAATCTTTTGAAAACGGTCAATTTAATAAAGAGTAATCATGGTAATAGGGGGGGAAAAGATGATAGAATTACCTTTATTGGGTCTTCAACAATTAAAAAATCCATACCTACGGCAAGGTCGAGAATGACTCGAGATAGATCCATTGGTCATATCATGCTGAACTAAGTGTAGTCCTTTACTACCCTTTTACAGAAATGAATACCAAATGTGTACAATTATTCATCTTTTTTTTCCCCCAGATTATATGGACATTTTCCATCTACTTGGAGTCTGTTGCCATCCTGCCCCAGTTATTTATGATCAGTAAGACTGGGGAGGCAGAAACAATTACCAGCCATTACCTGTTTGCCTTGGGATCATACCGTGCCCTGTATTTGTGTAACTGGATCTACAGATATTACGCTGAGGGATTCTTCGATCTTATCGCAGTGGTAGCTGGTGTAGTACAGACAATATTGTATTGTGACTTCTTTTATCTTTATATTACAAAGGGTTTGTATTTTTTGTTATTTATTGTAGACGCATTCAAACATATTAAATACGGATGTGACCATTTTTGTGGTTGTGACATAAAAATGTGGTTTAACATTGTGTGCATTTAGCAAATGATTAGTAAAAAAAAACAGATGTGGTAGACTAAATGTCAGACTACGGAATAAAACAAATTGAGACCAGTTGTACATTTGTATTTGAAAAATTCTTAGTTATCTTGATGTATGAATTTGGTAAGTCTGGTTTAATGCTCCATAATGTCACACTTGTACGTAAACCACAACATGATTTTAAGAGTTGAGGGAATTTAACTCATTTTGACTAATTTTCCTCTGGCAACCAAAACAAATACAGGAATGAATTTTTTTTTAATACTACATCTCACAGAATAGGTGTTTTACTGATATATAACTCTGCCAGTTCATCCGTTCATCTGCCCAAATCTTCTTATACAAATTACTCAGCGTCTGTATTATCATGATTATGAAATATTTTGATATTTAGTCTGAAACTTATAATGATGAGTTGTACAGTTGCTGCCATTTTCTAATCTGCAGTTCAGTCACTTCCTGTTTGACTGGGACGTTAAGCAACCAACAATCAATCAATCAATCCTGTTTGACTGAACAGTACTATGAATTATTAGTTTACCCACTAAGCATGGAATTTTTTTGTTGCAAATTATTCAGCTTCTGTATGAAGGAATGATATGATATCAGGCGTTTAACTAAGGGCTATTCCATTAAAATGAATGTGGGAGGGTAGGAAGGGACTTTCAAAATATCCCTACAACCAAGAACCATTTTTTAGATAATTTTGCATAATGGTAATAGACACATACTGAAAAAAGACTCATGACCCACATTCAATAATTAAACTTCCCTTCCTACCCTCCCACATACATTTTAATGGAATAGCCCTAATGATAGTTTTATTGTAAAAGCAATTTCAGACTTTTTTTCTCTATTTTAACTTAGAATTATCTTTCACCAGATTGATCATGTTGATATATTTTATGAAATATAAGGGAAAGATTTGTCATTTCATTTTCAAAAATGGATATTTTTATGACAATCAATTTAATGTTATGTCTTCATGAAAATTTCTTGAATATAATGTCTGATAGACTGTTTACCCCAAGAGAGCTCTTTTCTGTCACAAGGGTAATGTTTATCCCAGAAAGCTCTTTTCTCTCACAAGGGTAATGTTTATCCCATATGCTCTTTTCTCACACAAGGATAATGTTTATCCCAGAATGCTCTTTTCTCACACAACATGCACTAGTGTAATGTTTATCCCAGAAAGCTCTCTTCTCACACAAGGGTAATGTTTATCCCAGAAAACTCTCTTCTCACACAAGGGTAATGTTTATCCCAGAAAGCTCTTTTCTCACACAAGGGTAATGTTTATCCCAGAAAACTCTCTTCTCACACAAGGGTAATGTTTATCCCAGAAAGCTCTTTTCTCACACAAGGGTAATAAGTGTTAGGACCACCGCAGGGAGAATATGATGTTTCTTTCACACAGATCATTATCACTTTGAAGTTATAACTAACCAATGATAATATGTGTTGCTTTGCCATGTTCACAACTGGTGGTTTGTCAAATAACTTATTAATATTTCTGGAGTTGTTTGTGTGGGGGTTTTCCATATACTTTGATGAAAATATGACAAAATGTTAACTTATTAAAATCTGTTGTAATAAAATACGCTAATAAGACTCAATATTAAGTCCAGAATTTAAAAAAAAAAGTTAATTAACAAACCATTATATACTTCTTGAATACGAACTCATTGCTTTATTTTCAAACATACAAAAAAATGTAAGAGTTATCTCCCACGCTAAAGTAACTCTACAAGATTTGTTAAAGAGCCGAACATAATTGAATTTAATACAGCACCATATGCAGATGTTTACTACTAGTAGGAATATTTGCAGGGCAAAAAGCTCTCATATGCACCTTTTCATGCTTATATTCCCAAAATTCAATGATCAAAAAATGAAAATGGTTGTACACTAATAGATTACATTTGCTGTATTTGGCAAACCCTTTCGGAATAATTTTCATTCATGCATCACTGACGAGTCTTTTGTAGACGACTGGTGTACAAAATTATAAGGCTGGTATCTTTGATGAGGTTTTTTTTTTTTAATCTTCAATTTGCAGCTGGCATTTGTTCATATAATTTATACCAAAGATCCATCTGACAGTTGTGGAAGTCGGATTAGTCCAGTGAAAATTGGTTTGGTCCAATCTTAAATGACTGTGCTGGACCATCTTTTCAGGAAAAATTGGAAATATATGTGAAAGTTCAGTCAAAATAAATTTAGGTTGCAGTAAAGTTGAAAATCTAGAGAAACTTTGAAATAACAGCAGGTTCCAGACCACAAGATATAATTCATAGTATGGCAAATGTTTGGCACTGACAAAAGAACAAACAATAAGGCTTGCCTATTAAGAATTTCAATTACCGGTAGCCAAAAAAATTTTAAGATTAATGTAGACTGACTTTCCATGCAAAGGGGATTTAAACTTCTGGAACAAAATAAGTTTTTAAAAGTATTTGGATCTACACTTAAGCAACATAATTGACATCGCAAAATCTGCTTTTTTCCAGGAAAGGGCTCTCTGCTGTTTACAAATAATGAGATTGTTTTCAAGGAATCCCCTTTGCTGGAAGTTTAAACAGTCACACTTGTACGTAAACCACAACAAAATTTCTGTTTGTATTTTCATAGCATTTGGAACGCTTGTTTTTGTTCTGTCATTTAATTAGCATGGTGGTAGCTCACTAACCTCTCATGTCACCTTTGGTTTAGAGAGTAAGGAAGTCAATGCAGAAAAAAATTGTGTTTCCTGTTAACCGAATGACCATTTTATAGTTCACCCCTAGCACGATTTTTATACGACCGCAAAAAAATTTTGTGGTCGTATATTGGTATGACGTTGGCGTCGTCGTCGTCGTCGTCGTCGTCGTCCGTCGTCGTCGTCGTCCGGCGTCGTCGTCCGAATACATATTGGTTTTCGCACTCTAACTTTAGTTTAAGTGAATGGATCTTTTTGAAATTTGACCATAAGGTTAAATACCACAAAAGGAAGGTTGGGATTGATTTTGGGGGTTATGGTACCAACAGTTAAGGAATTAGGGGCCAAAAAGGGGCCAAAAATGAGCATTTTCTAGTTTCCAGACAATAACTGTGGAACGGTGTATGGATCTCTCTGAAATTATACTACAAGTTTCCATACCACAAAGGGATGGTTAGGATTTGCTTTGGGGGGTTATGGCTCAAACCGTTTAGGAATTAGGGGCAAAAAAGGGGGAAAAACAAGGTTGTCCTGGTTAATGGACAAATACTTTAGTACAAAACATAATTTAATGCAGTGTAAGGGAGATAAATCAAATACATCATTGAAATTATCTCCCTTACACTGCTTTTAAATTATGTATAAAGTAATGGTTATTGAACAATAAAGATAATCTAAAACAGTGTAAGGGAGGTAATCCAAATACAACGTTTTGGTTACTTCCCTTACACTGCTTTTAAATTATGTTTAAAGAAATGCATATTTATGAAGGAAGACCAGTAAAAATATCAGCAAATATTTTTATCTTTTTTTTTTACAAAAAAATCCATATGAAAGATTTGACACTATATTTTTATTAATTCTATTATAAAATAGATTAAGTTAGCACTATGGTAAATTTAAATGGGTAATTATGGTTGCCAACTCGATTGGAAATTTGAATTGAGATTATGACCATATCTTGAGGGAAAGAATTTTTTTGGGGGAAAAGGGGGGGGGGGATAAAAAGAAATTGTGGGGGGCCAATTTTTTCTCATTTCAGATTTCAGAAATTAAAAAGAATTATTCTTCAAATATTATTTTTTTTTCAAATTTCAAATATTGAAAAATTTCAAGAAGTAATCTTTAATTGCACAGTATGGCGCATTAGATTTGTAAAATCTTTGATCACATTTATTTATTTGTTATGCCGAATCTAACAGTGTATTTAGATTTTTAATTTTGGGTCCAGTTTTCAAATTGGTCTACATTAATGTCCAAAGGGTCCAAAATTAGACTTTGTTTGATTTTAGCAAAAATTGAATATATGAGGTTCTTTGATATGCTGAATCTAAATATGTATTTAGATTTTTGAATTTTGGCCCAGTTTTCAAGTTGGTCCAAATTGGGGTCCAAAATTAAACTTTGTTTGATTTCAACAAAAATTGAATATATGGGGTTCTTTGATATGCTGAATCTAACCATGTATTTAGATTTTTTATTTGTGGACCCCGTTATCTAATTGGTTCATATTGAGGTCAAAAGGGTCCAAAATTAAACTTTGTTTGATTTCATCTAAAATTGAATTATTGGGGTTCTTTGATATTCCAAATCTAACCGTGTATTTAGGTTTTTAATTTTGGGTCCTGTTTTTTAAATTGGTCTACATTGAGGTCCAAAGGGTCCAAAATTAAACTTAGTTTGATTTTAACAAAAATTGAATTCTTGGGGTTCTTTGATTTGCTGAATCTAAACATGTCTTTAGATTTTTGATTATGGGCCCAGTTTTCAAGTTGGTCCAAATTGGGGTCCAAAATTAAACTTTGTTTGATTTCAACAAAAATTGAATATATGGGGTTCATTGATATGCTGAATCTAAACATGTATTTAGATTTTTGATTATGGGCCCAGTTTTCAAGTTGGTCCAAATTGGGGTCCAAAATTAAACTTTGTTTGATTTCAACAAAAATTGAATATATGAGGTTCTTTGATATGCTGAATCTAACCATGTATTTAGATTTTTTATTTGTAGGCCCCCCTATCAAATTGGTTCATATTGAGGTCAAAAGGGTCCAAAATTAAACTTTGTTTGATTTCATCGAAAATTGAATTATTGGGGTTCTTTGATATTCCAAATCTAACCGTGTATTTAGATTTTTAATTTTAAGTCCCGTTTTTTAAATTGGTCTTCATTGAGGTCCAAAGGGTCCAAAATTAAACTTAGTTTGATTTTAACAAAAATTGAATTCTTGGGGTTCTTTGATATGCTGAATCTAAACATGTGTTTAGATTTTTGATTATGGGCCCAGTTTTCAAGTTTGTCCAAGTTGGGGTCCAAAATTAAACTTTGTTTGATTTTAACAAAAATTGAATATATGGGGTTCTTTGATATGCTGAATCTAACCATGTATTTTGATTTTGGACATTGGACCATAATAGGTAAATTAAAAAAATTCAAGTTCTTAGACCACATTCTTTCTGTGTCAGAAACCTATGCTGTGTCAAATATTTAATAACAATCCAAATTCAGAGCTGTATCAAGCTTGAATGTTGTGTCCATACTTGCCCCAACTGTTCAGGGTTCGACCTCTGCGAAGCATTTTATTATATTTCTGCATGTAAGATATTTAATGAGTGTTTCTTAAATGAACTCTTGTTATGAAAAAAAAACCCAACTGTCAATGATATAGGGTTTTAGTATTAACAGTTATGTATGAAATTCATGCTGAAACTTTACATAACAATCATCTTTGAAATTGACAAAATTAACACAGGGCATCAGGGAACATCAGTACACGTCAAATTTTAAGGATTATAGATAACAAATCTTACATATTATGTATAGGATAAAAATTCCATCAAATTAAATAATATTGTATTCTCCTTTCCATATCCTTCCTTTGTGAATTTTTATGCCCCCGCCGTAGCGGTGGGAGCATTAAGTTTTACCCTTGTCCGTCTGTACGTAGTACGTACATACATCCGTCCGTACGTCCCGAAATTGGTTTCATTCTCTAACTTAAGTTTGCCTCAACCAAATGTTATGAAACTTATACACAATGCTTATTACCACAAAACACAGATCAAGTTTGAATTTTGGTGGGGTCACTTTAACCGTTCTAGAGTTATGCCCCTTTATAAATGGAAAAATTGCAAAATGTTTAGTTTCCCTTCTCTAACTTAATTTTGCCTCAACCAAATGTTATGAAACTTATACACAATGCTTATTACCACAAAACACAGATCAAGTTTGAATTTTGGTGGTGTCACTTAAACTGTTTTAGAGTTAAGCCCCTTTATAAATGGAAAAATTGCAAAATTTTTAGTTTCCGTTCTCTAACTTAAGTTTGCCTCAACCAAATGTTATGAAACTTATACACAATGCTTATTACCACAAAACACAGATCAAGTTTGAATTTTGGTGGCGTCACTTTAACCGTTCTAGAGTTATGCTCCTTTATAAATGGAAAAATTGCAAAATTGTTATTTTCTTCTGAATATCAAGTTATTTTTAAAATTGGAGTTATCTTCCTTTGTCCATGATTATAGTTGAATCAGCTACAATCAATGCTTTATACAATGCAATGTTTGATTTTGACTACCACTGATAAAATACAGATCAAGTTGAATTTGGGTAGTGTCACTTTAACCATTATTGAGTTATGCCCCTTTATAAATCGAAAGATTGCAAAAATTTTAGTTTCCATTCTGTAACTTAAGTTTGCCCCTTCCAAACATTATGAAACCTATACACAATATTCATTACCACAAAACTAAGATCAAGTACAAATTTTTTGGGATCGTATAATGGTATGATGTCGTCGTCTGCGTCTGTGTCGTCGTCGTCCGAAGACACATTGGTTTCCGGACAATAACTTTAGTTTAAGTGAATGGATCTTTATGAAATTTTTGAAGAAGGTTCAATACCACAAAAGGAAGGTTGGGATTGATTTTGGGGATGATGGTCCCAACCATTTAGGAATTAGGGGCCAAAAAGGGTCCCAAAACAAGCATTTTTCTAGTTTCAGGATAATAACTTGTGTATAAGTATTTCAATTGCTCTGAAATTGTACCACAATGTTTAATACCACAAGTAGAAGGTTGGGATTCATTTTAGGGGTTATGGGGCCAACAGTTTAGGAATTAAGGGCCAAAAAGGGTCCAAAAACAAACATTTTTCTAGTTTCCAGACAATAACTTGTGTGTAAGTGTATGGATCTCTCTGACATTGTACCACAAGGTTCCATATAACAAAGGGAAGATGGGATTGAGTTTGGGGTTAATTACCCCAAACATGTAGGAATTAGGGGCCAAAAACAAGCATTTTTCTAGTTTCCAGACAATAACTTGTGTGTAAGTGTATGGATCTCTCTGAAATTGTACTACAAGGTTCCATACTACAAAGGAAAGGCTGGGATTGAGTTTTGGGGTTATTGCTCCAAGGGGGGTTTCAAAAAGTTGGGTGGGAGGGGGGGGATTTTTTTCCCAATTTTTTTTAAGGAATTCATATTTTTTTTTCAAAATTTTTAAAATTTCGAATTTTTGAAAAGTTTCAAGAAGAAATCTTCAATTGCACAGTATTGCGCAATGGATTTATAAGATCTTTGACCATATTTATTTTGTGTCAGAAACCTATATTATGTCAAAAATTTGATTACAATCCAAATTCAGACAGTATCAAGCCTGAATATTGTGTCCAAATTTGCCCCAACTGTTCAGGGTTCGACCTCTGCGGTCATATCAGGCTGCGCTCAGCGAAGCATTTTATTAGCCATGACTATGATGTCATTTTCTATTTTAATACCTTTATTATGTAATTTCCATTTTTATTAGATATTACTGTTAAATGATGCTGATTGAGGGTTTGAATGCTGGGATTGATTTTGGGGGTAATTGCCTCCAAATTTTAGTAATTAGGGGTCAAAAAACAAGCATTTTTCTAGTTTCATGACAATAACTTGTGTGTAAGTGTATGGATATTTATGAAATTGTACTACAAGGTTCCATATCACAAAGGGAAAGCTGGAATTGAGTTTGGGGGTACTTGCCCAAAACGTTTAGGAATAAGGGGCCAAAAATAAGCATTTTTCTAGTTTCCAGACAATAACTTGTGTTCAAGTGTATGGATCTCTCTGAAATTGTACTGCAAGGTACCATACCACAAAGGGAAGGCTGGGATTGTTTTTGGGGGTAATTGTCTCAAAATGTTAGGAATAAGGGTCCATAAAGGGGAAAAAAAACAAGCATTTTTCTAGTTTCATGACAATAACTTGTGTGTAAGTGTATGGATATTTATGAAATTGTACTACAAGGTTCCATATCACAAAGGGAAAGCTGGAATTGAGTTTGGGGGTACTTGCCCAAAACGTTTAGGAATAAGGGGCCAAAAATAAGCATTTTTCTAGTTTCCAGACAATAACTTGTGTTCAAGTGTATGGATCTCTCTGAAATTGTACTGCAAGGTACCATACCACAAAGGGAAGGCTGGGATTGTTTTTGGGGGTAATTGTCTCAAAATGTTAGGAATAAGGGTCCATAAAGGGGAAAAAAAACAAGCATTTTTCTAGTTTCATGACAATAACTTGTGTGTAAGTGTATGGATCTTTATGACATTGTACTGCAAGGTTCCATATCACAAAGGGAAAGCTTGGTTTGAGTTTGGGGGTAATTGCCCTAAACTTTTAGGAATTTGGGGCCAAAAAGGTGCAAAAAACCCAAGCATTTTTCTAGTTTCCAGACAATAATTTGTGTTCAAGTGTATGGATCTCTCTGAAATTGTACTGCAAGGTACCATACCACAAAGGGAAGTCTGGGATTGAGTTTGGGGGTGATGAATCATAAGGGGGTTTCAAAAAATTTGGGGGGGATTTTTTTTTCCTTTTTTTTCTTTAAAATTTTCCATTTTAAATTGGTTATTTCTGATTTATATATAAAAGCAAATAATAATGATATGGTTTGAATAGGTAAATTAAAAATTTTTAAGTTCTTAGACTACTTTCATTCTGTGTGAGAAACCTATGCTGTGTCAAATATTTAATTACAATCCAAATTCAGTGCTGTATCAAGCTTGAATGTTGTGTCCATACTTGCCCCAACTGTTCAGGGTTCGACCTCTGCGGTCGTATCAAGCTGCGCCCCAGCGGAGCATTTTATTTTTATTGCTGCAGGTAATCAACATTTTCTTTTAAATCCTGTTCATTTCAGACATTTATATAAGCATAAATACAATTTCTGTATCAGATACAACTGCTTTGAAAGAAAAATAATATATATATATAACAGATAAACCCTAACTTTTATTCAAAATTAAAAAAACTGGAAACACATGTTTTCTTTTTGGCTAGTCCTGAAATCTTTATTTTAGTTTACATATGTTTGTTTTATGTCTGTTTTTTTGTCCTTCATGTACCATTATCATCATTCCATAATTTGACATAATTTTGCAAAATGTTTATCAAGTTTTTGCTTTTAAATATGTAATATCTAGGGAAGGCACTTTTCCGAGTAAATAGCAGTACTGTACTGTAGGATTTAGGTTGGTAAAGGTTGGTATGTTATACACAGTATGATGTTTGATACAATTGTACATATCACATGTCTAAAAGTGCCTTCCCTCACTTACTTTCATGATTTTGTGAAACTGCTTTAACATTTATATTACATTATATTATAATAACACGTTTATTTTGTTAACTGAAGCTTCAATATATATATATGTATAATGAAAGAAATGTGAATAATTTAGTGTAGTCTATTTTACTCCAACAAAATCTGATTAACATACAGATCTTGTGTCAATCCTTTGCTAAGGGAGCAACCATGTAACTTCAAGGGAGGGTTATGGTTTTTTGTCCGGGTCAGAAATTTTATTAAGTTTTTCAACACTATCAATCAAATTATTTTTTTCATATTTAGCACTATAAGGTATGGAGAAAGTCTGGATTCAGGATTTTTTTTTGGTCATCTGCTTGACTAGAATAATTTTTTTCATCAAATTGGGGATCAGAATTGTTTTGTAGTAAAAAAAACATAACCCCCTGCCCCCCACTTGAAGTTAAATGGTCGTTCCCTAACAAGGATCTGACTATACCATGGAATTAAAAGTAACACTAACAGCACATTTGTAATACATATGTACACTGTAAATTCAAAATTTGTTGCAAGGTTTTTATCAACATGATTAATGTGAATAATGTGACTGGGTGAGTATCGATTTTATTAGAACTCGCATTCTGAATTCGATACATGTATCTGTATGTAGATTTGCCTGAAATGGCAACAATTAATCTTACAATTTTGTCCATTATTTGAAAATTGCAATAATAAATGCATGCAAAAATTTCTGAATTTACAGTAGTCTATTTGAAAGATATTCAAAAAGCAGCATGGTTAACACCATAGCTTGATACTGTGGTGCTATAAGTCCCTGGTCCCTGTGGAGAGCACTGTATGTAGTATTATGTCAGAAGTTTGACTTCAAAAGATTCAAAATGTTAAGAAATAAGTGCATGTTTGCCTCACCAATGAGGTGTCGGGAGACAAATTTCTCTATATTTTTCTAAAATTATTAACCAACTACTGGGTGAGGAAAGATAAAACATAATTTGAACCTATGTTTGATTGACTGAGAGTTACTTCCCCTTTTTTGTAGGTCTGTTTGCTTCATATACATGTAAATTGATATAACAACAACGATGGTTAATTATCTAACAGTAAGCAACACTTCACAACAACACATAATAAACATGTTTCAGGCACTTTTATAACCTTGGGCAGATCTGTTTCAGAAAGATGCTTTCATCTCATATTATATATGTAGTTGTTTGAAACTTTTGCTTACAATGCTACATGTATTAATGAACTTTTCTTTCTATTTCAGTAATGAAAGGCAAGAAGATATCTTTACCAGCCTAAACCTTAGATACTGACTAAAGTCATGGACCATTATGATAATTCTGACTTTTTTATTTTGGGAAGTTAGGAACCATTTCTAATATTTTGCATGCGTGAGAAAGTGAGCGATTACTGGTGCTTTTTTTTTTTTGGTTGTCAATGAAAAGTTGATCAACACCAGATGCATGGATACAGAAGATTGTGCCAATTGATTGTTGTACAGATTAAACCAGGGTTTAGAGATTTTCATGCTACTCATAGAGATCTAAAAATTTGACAATATGAATCGTGGGGTTATTCTAAAAATTTATAATTAATTTATTTTAATTATGAAGGCTTGGCTATTTCATTAAATTTTTTTTCACATGCCTTTAATAAGTTATCTGGAAAAAAAAACGGCTTCTCTCATCCTACTTCAATATTTGATAATAGAAAATAAAGGGAGGGTCTACTCTAGATAGAATATATTTAGCGTTTGCACAGGAACTAGCAATTGCATTGTGGTAATCCTCTATATAGATTTACATTTTACAATTTGGCCAAGTTCCATAAAGCCAGATGCTGTTTTACTGTTAAAGAAAGGTCATGTGACTTTAGAGATAGGTAGAGTTAGTCCATACATTTGCCATATTCATCAAATGAATTAAAATTGTAAACAAAATTTATTTATAATAATGAATATAAAATGTAGCAAATGGCATTGAGTACAAAGAGTTTAAATACATTGTTGAACTTTCGACATCTAGTTAAAAATTAGAGAGATTAACTTCATCTTTTAAAGGATGAAGAATAATGTATTCTCTAATAAATTAGTGTTATATCTATTATTGCTGCAAAACGGTGATACCTGTGGCTTTATAGGTCTTCCACCAGCCCAAAAATAGACAAAAAATGTGATTCCTGTGGCTTTATAGATCTTCCACCAGCCAAAAATAGCCCAAAAATGTTTCTGTCTAATTTTATACCCCACGACTTTTATTTTGAAAATCAGCAGGTTTAAGTTGTGTTCCTATTACACATGATACAAGGTGATCTTTAATTTGATGACAAACGTTCAAAGATGTATTTAGACTTCTTGACAAATTTGAAATGATGAGATATATTGTGCAACTTGTTTAGAAATATGGAATCAATTTATGATGGAAAAACAGTTATATATATTTTTTTATGTACATCTTTTACATATTCTTTGACTATTGCATGCATTAATAAGTGGAATTTTTTATGGAGTCAATGCTTTGATTATATTAAGTGTATAACTATAAAAACTTGGTAACACAATACATAAATATATGATAATACATTTTTGAATGGTAATTTGAAATATAATTCATAGAGTTATTCATTATGAAAGATTGTTTTAGATGTATGTTTGAATTTAGAATGTTAAAGAGTTTTATGTAAGTTTTGTTAAAGCTTTGTTGGTATAAAGTGTTGAAGCTATATTCTTTTATCTTTTCACCTTTTCTGATTTTGTACACAGTTTAAAAATACCATTGAAATGTTATTATTTGATTAATGAACTAAGTAGCTGTGTGACTTATGCACATAGTAAGATATAACAAGCATGTATTGCCAGAACAGAAATTAAGTGAAAAATATTTTACTGAGCAACTTGAGTTTTACTGTAAAACCCAGTTGCAAAAAGTGCATTAAAACAATAAGTTCAAATGAATATGTATATTCAAACATGGTGTAGCACAACTTTTATGAAATCCATTTTAATACACCTACATGTATGAACATTGAACATTTCCTTTCAAATATTAATTCAAGAGTGAACCATGCCAGTTACATTTGATAGCAAATCCAAGTTGTTTATCAATGTCAATTATCTGCTTGTAGCATTTGCAGTTTGTTTAAATGCTAAATTGACAACTTTTTAACTGCTGAAAGAATTTTTTAAATTGTTATTAAAGGAAGATTTTGTTTTAATGAATCGTCGGATCTCTATATTTTCTTTGTTTCTGAATTAACAAAATTGATGCCAGTGGGGTAATGCGATATTTTTAGGCGAATGGATCGGTAATGTAGATAGATGGATGTATCAAATGACGAAATAATGTCTGTTTGTATAGATCTTATCACTCCATTGATAAATATCAGTAATCAGTTCACATAGATCAAGACCTATTGATTTAGGTAATAACTGTATTGTATGCAAAGCCTTAAAGATTTATATCACAATTTTTACTGTTGCAAATTTGGTAACCTAGCTATGTGTGTTGGATTTCATGATTCATTATGTCAACTCTTCCCATGTAGGCCCTTAATTACAATTTATGGATGAACTTTTTCATAGAATGTTATTTAGTCACATCTAATGAAACAGATTAAGTTAGAATTTGATATGTATAGAGTCACAGTCTAATCTTGCAATTTTATTAGTTACTTTGACAGGGTATATGAGCCCATATTAAGGAATATGGTTGTCTTAGTTCTTAGATGTTATAATATTGTCTTGCCTAATTCAAATGTCTCTCCAAATGTGTTTTGTTTTTTTGTTGCAAGCAATTACCTGTGTACATAAATAAAAAACAGTCGTGGTACTTTTTTGTGAAAACAAAATAAGCTTTTCATTGGTAAAAACCAGTGTCCATTTTCATCATCAGGACTTGTTATTTCTTCTTTCCTTCTCAGAACAATCTTAAATAAAAAGTTCAAAATGTATATTGCATTGCCATGTGACTTTACAAAAAGTGCTAACTACATTTGGTAGGAGAGAATGACAACTTTTTATCGTGTTTCAAGTGCAATTGTATGAAAGAGAATGAAGTCATTATAAAGTTTGTGTAAATAGCATCGTAATGTATTAATATGTGAATAAAATATCACAAGTTTTATTTTTTTTCAAAGTTTATAATTTGTACTACCAGATACATCTAGTACAATGTTGGAATAGGGTATTTTTCGTGTGAATTGCAAAATGCATCATGTCCCTGCCTTTTATGGTTGAATGTTGTACAATGACATATATTTGCCTACATTTAGTTATTTGGTCTCTCATAGAAATTGTTTTATTGGCAATCATCTGTCCATCTGTATGTTTGTTCATGAAATTTGTACCTGAACTACCTATAAACTGTGGAATTGAATTGAAACTTTACACCAAGGTATTGCACTAAAGGAACACTGTGGAGCATCACCACCAGATATAGGTACACTCAAAGCAAAGAAACAATGATAGCAAAAGTACCTATTTAATCATTGTACAGTAAACAGCTATTCACCGTACAATTTATTCGCTTTATTACATGTACTTCTCTGTGTAAATAATAGTTTTATTTCGAAATACAGAGTTGTTCAAGCCTAAATATGATATACCTTTGTTCTACGAATACGTCAAATGACTAGTTGAAGGATAAATGTGTTTTTAACAAGTTTGAAGTCATCACATGCTTCGTTGAACAGGTACCCCCTATCCGATTCTGGCGCTTTGAAGAGAGGGAAAGCCAATTAAGGATCATAATCAGCCTTAATTTGTAGCTACATAATTAGGAATCAGTATCACAAAACTGTACTTGTCAGCAAAAAGTAGAATATAATTAAAATAAGAAGAATTGGACCTTACCTGACTTTACATTTGTTTTTCCTTCACTCCGGGGTACCTATATCCTGTGATGATGTTACACATTGAGGAAAAAGACAAATTTCATTTGATGTCTTAAAGGAAAGATAATTCAGCCGAATGGAGAGGAAGGATATGGCATATTGATGAGATAAAATCCTTACATGCTTTTCATGAAACTAAAGCAAAAGACTGCGAGACAAAGGGATGCTTATCTTGTGGCTACAACGTAAACTATTTGTATGAAGCTTTATATTTAAAAGATAGACGACCTATAAGTACATATCATGTATAAGATCTGGGACTGTTATATTAGTTAGTTTAATAGTCCCAGATAAAATGCCCTATGTTCTGAACTTTATGTCTGGAATCTGTCCGTTGTCCTTTTCCTCGTCTTCATGGTTCAGTGAATTCAGTTTTTTTCTCACATAATTTTCTCACTTAGGAGTATAAGAATAACGATATAATGTTTATAGAATCATTGCAAGGAATACTTGTATGTCAGGCAGGATAAACCTGATCTTGACGTCATATCATGGATCGGTGGTTAAAAGTTTTTGGTGGTAAGTCCATTTCTAAGCTTCTTTAACCAATAGGTCAACTTACTTGTATATGGAAAGATTGTAAGGTGTACATATCTGTCTGGCAGGGTTCATCTGAGATTTGACTCCATTTAATGCTCAATGCTAAGATTTTAGCTCACCTAGCCCTGAGCTATTGCCGTCACTTTGCATTTGTCATCCAAACGTTTTTCAAAAGATATTCTCAGAAACTTCACAAATCATTTCAGTGTTTTTACCCATTATCTCAAAAACTCTATTACATAGAAACTCTAGAATAATCAGCAATACAAGATCTATTAAGATGCAAATACTACTAAAACCATTGGGAGTTAGGTAGTAAATGACGATTTTGGACTAATTTTAGTGATTTTATAAAAAATAAGAAAATGTGATATGATTTTTAATGAGACAGCTCTCCACCAGAGACCAAATGACATAGAAGTTAACAACTGTAGGTGACGGTATGGCCTTCAACAATGATCAAAATCCATACCGCATAGTAAGCTATGTTTTTATATTTTGTTCTTTATCTCAAAAATTATAAAAGAAATTTAGAAACTGTAAACAGCACTTGTAATCAGAAATACAATATCTACCAAAATATCAATTCACTAGATGACCCCTTAAGGAGTTATAGCTTTAAATGACATTTTTTGACTTAATTAAATTTTTAAGTTTATGTCTAAGTAATATTGAAAACTATAATAGATAGGTAGAAAGAAACTGCAAATTGCAAAAAAGCCTGTATGTGTAAACCAATTAGATAGCTCCTTATATAAACTGTAAATAGCAAAACCATAACATGTCATTTTTCATATCAGATGTATTATCAGCCCTCGGTCAATATCAGCCCTCGAGCCGTATGAAAAATGCCATGTAATAATCTGATAGTATCAACTGAAATCAAAAGTCAACAATTGTTTTATTATATGACTTTTTTTTATCCTTCTCCAATTTTTGTCTCGCCTTGGCGGAGTCAAAAAGCGAGACATAGGTATGCTGTTTCCGGCGACGGCAGCGTCAACAATGTATTAGTTTGTGATTAGGTCTAGTTCATGGTGAACCACTAGTGGTAGGTCAATGATATTTGGTATGCAGTTGTTATAGCATTGGCACATTTCATTACCATGGAGATTATTTGGCCCCGCCCCCTCAGTCAAGGTCTATTGACTTTGAAACTTTTCATAGTTTACATGTATTAGTTTGTGATTAGGTCAATTACAGGGGAACCACTAGTGGTAAGTCAATGATATTTGGTATGCAGTTGTATAAGCATTGGCATATCTCATTTCCATGGAGATTATTTGGCTCTGCCCCCTTAGTCATGGTCTATAGACTTTGAAAAATTTGCTAAGTTAACATGTATTAGTTTGTGATTAGGTCAGTTCAAGGGGAACCATAAGTGTTAGGCCAATGTTAATTGGTGTTCAGTTGTATAAGCATTAGCACATCTCATTTCCATGGAGAATATTTGACCCCGCCCCTCAGTCATGGTCTATTTACTTTGAAACTTTTGCTTAGTTTACATTATTAGTTTATGATTAGATTAGTTTAAGATGATTTGCTAATGTTAAGTCAATAATATTTGGTATGCAAATTTATTGGCATTGCAAGTATCGTTTCCATGGAGATTATATAGCCCCACCCCTGATCATGGTTCGTTGACTTTGAAACTTTTACATAGTTTACAAGTTAATGTTTGTGTTTAGGTTTGTTTAAAGGGAACGACTTATAATAAATTAATGGTATTTGGTATGCAGTTGTATTAGCATTGGCACATCTCATTCCATGGAGATTGTTTAGCCATGTACCTTCAGTCATGGTTCATCGACTTTGAATATTTGCATAACTTACATGTTAAAGTATTGCTATTTTAATTTCAACATTTGCATTATCAAAATTACAAAAAAAGCGAGACATATCTCTGTGATAACAGTTTATCTAGTATTTGCTCAAGATAGTTTTAAAACTGCTCCCTGTTTTTAGGGATATAGTATATTTTTATATTGACGATAAAAAAATCAACAAAACATAGTCAACACTGTTTGGAAAAGTCAACATTTGTAAAGTAGCTTGCTAAATTATGCTGGAAACTTTGAAAAAATGCATTTATTGTATAATAATTTGCATTTTACATAATATATTTTCCTGTTTCCTAATATTTGTTTTGTACCCTACCTTGCTATGTTTTTCTCTGAAAACGTACCATTGAGGCGTCGGAATGCCGTGCGATAATAGCTGGAAGCAGTTGATAAATTTTTCATATCAGCCCGCTAAGCACCAATTCGGAAAATATGGAATTAACGTAAATTTAATGCTATTATCATACTGTAAAAATTATAAGTTATTTACTCTAAGTACATAATAAAATGTTTTATCAAAGAGGATTTCCTATGCTTTTAGCCAATGAGAAAACAGAAAATTTACTGATAGTCATATAATAATGATCAATAAAGCAGGCGAGACATCTCACCTTGTGCAATATTCTTGTTGTTCTTTGTCTCATTGTGTTAAAAGACGTTAACATGGTAAAACAAACAACAATCAATGAATTATAATGTTATAAAGTTATGCCATATCAGTGTAATCATAACTCATTCTTTGGATGTTTGGCACATGTTTCTTTTTTATAATGCCACCACATCACCTGTTAAGTGCTGTCAAGCTTAGAACTAACAAACAGGCGTATGGTAGTTTGATGTAAAGTTGTTGCATCAATGAATTCATCTACTTTTGCCATGAAATAACACGATTTCCCAGTCAAAGAAAACAGATAATTTCACATGTGAAAGAAAGAAATCCTGTGATTCTCTACACCGACGTCAAACAACTACAAATAGGTTTCCACATAAAGTAATTGAGTTTAAGTTTTTTTCTTGGCCGCCTGTTTTGGATGAGTAAATGGTTGATTTTCTTATTTGACTAACCAGAGGGACTAATCAAATTGAATCATGCGGTACCAACGCGTCTGATAAAAAATCCTTACTAGATGGTAGTGATGAATCAAGCAAGGCTAAGAAAAATTAAAATTGTTCTGAAAACAACTTTTTCTAACGTCTAGCGTTCAGTGTAACAAGTTGAATTTGTCTGATTTATGAAGGAATTTGTGCACGAAGACGTCCTGTTATTAATTATAATGATTTGTTATATATGTTTTAATGTAATAATTTGTAAGATAAAAAGATGGCCCAAGTACATTTTTAACTCACTCACTAAAACTCTATAGTGAGGCGATTGATAGTTTGAAAATATTTGATCAAAAACCCGGTGCCAATTTTATATGACGGCACAACTAGAGGCTCGCTCACCTAGGTCTATGTGCATCTTCAACAATGGAGACTCTCCACCATTGTAGACTAGAATGGAATTCATGACTGACAAAAATCTCTTTTTTGTTGATCTTTTATTGCTTATCATTTTTATACGACCGCAAAATTTTTTTTGCGGTCGTATATTGGTATCACGTTGCCGTCGTCGTCGTCCGCGTCGTCCGAAGCCATTTGGTTTCCGGACAATAACTTAAGTATATGTAAATAGAAATCTATGAAATTTAAACACAAGGTTTATAACCACAAAAGGAAGGTTAGGATAGATTTTGGGGGTTGTGGTCCTAATAGTTTAGGAATTAGGGGCCAAAAAGGGGCCAAAATAAGCATTTTTCTAGTTTCCAGACAATAACTTGTGGAACGGTGTATGGATCTCTCTGAAATTC